GCGGAAACACTGAACTAAATCCCCGGCCCCTGGCTCTTTATATTTATAATACTACATCCTAATTTCTCTGAGACTGTAAGAGATTTTACTACGATTTGTGAATTACTTGTACTGCTGTTACTTCTGCTATAATTTCTGAAAGCAAGAAGCACTCTGTGTAATCAGATGAAAGCTGAGTGATACTTGAGCCAGATGTCATCCCTTCCTTTCCTAAGGCTGAGGACGACAGTGCCTCCGTGTCTCCCAAGAGCCTGTGCAGGTGTCCGGGACTCAGGGAAGCTCTGGCTGAGCCTTGGATCTGCCCTCCTTCCTGGCTTCCTGGCAGCTGCTGGCTCTCAGACTGGAGAGCTTGTGGAGTGGCCAAAAGTGGTGCTTCCACTCAGACACACCCTCATTTCTGTAATCCAAAGAAAGGAGTGTTTTGATCTGTTTTGAAGAGAATTGAGTCACGTTACTATGAGAAGGGCAGGAGCCCTTCTGGCTTTGGGGTACAAGGAGCCAGGACCCAATTCTACCAGCACTTCCTCTCTCCTTTCCTTGGCCCTGCCTCTCTCGGAGCATTTCCCATAGCAGAGCAGGCAAGCTTTCTCCACACAGAAGAGGCCTCCCCCACACCAGAGCCTCTGCTCCCTCCCTATGGCAGGCAGAGGAGAACCAGGACCTGCACTATGGCCTGGTGAGGCATGGGGACTTCCCCTGTGGGTGGGTGGGTGTCAGTCCTGAGCCACTCAACAATGTGTAGAATATGGCACTCCTGATTTTTTTTTTCTGTATGGTGCTGGGAACTGAACCCAGGACTTGCAAGTTAGGGAAGCAGTTTATCTTAGAGCTACATTCCCAACCCTTAAGAAAGATTTTAATGTGCTTTCTGGATTACAGTTTCAAGCCCAGCCTGGGAAACTCAGTGATTCAGTGAGACCCTGTCTCAGAAATAAAAAGGGCAGGAGATGTAGCCCTGTGTTAAGGCCGTGGATTCAGTCCCCAATACAGTTAAAAATAAAAGTGCTTTCAGAAGGTACTCAGACTCATACTGATTGACAAGATAGTCTCAGTCTGTAGGCCTTTGGCTCAAGTCACCTATAATTTTCTATAGTTAAAAAAATATATATATACGGTTATCAACTGTGTACTTTTCTGGTATAAAATTAATGGAGAAACTAGTCAAATGATAATTTACATGATCTTTTTTAGGCTGTGAGAAAGACTATACAGAGAATGCCTTTCAGAATGAATTTAAGAAGAATATTCTGGTTATAAATACCAGAGCCTACATATCTAACCTAGTCTGATATTTAAAAAATATGAGACAAGATTAGTAAAGCCTAAAGGCGTCAAAGATTCACGTTTATTAAAATAGTGATGTTATGGAAGAACATCAAAATGCTCTCAGAAAAATAATATTAAATTCTTATGTTATATCAGAATAAGTTTGTACAATCAAAGCTAAAGTTATGGAAAAGTTTAACCTTTGAGCTCTGAACTGAGAAACTGAGAATAAATGAATGCATTTTAATGCAATTTTAAAAAAATGGAGCATACATATTGTTTCTGTTTTCTCTCTTAGTTTCTTTGAAGTCAACGTTTCTTCTAACAAAATATGGCCACTATTCCTCCATAAAAGAACTAAACATCCTTCTGAAAAATGAGTGTTGTAAAAGGGAGATTTCACCTTCAAGACATAGAAGAGGTTGCATGAAAGTCATGTCCAATCTTCCTTGGAGACATTTCCCAAGGGGTGGATGAACTGAAATGGTTTTAGGAATTCTAAAGGCCGTTTACCCTTGGTTCCAATTTTGCCTCCAATCAAGGATCACCAGCCAAATGAGAGAAATTAAACAATGACTTATTAATCTGTACAATCATTTTGGGGGATTCTTTGAATAAAAGTTGCCAATATTCTGTGATGGGGAACTCCTCTTAGGCCTGAGACCACAATAAGATTTCCTGCTGCCTTTGCAAATATGAAATGTGGGGGCTGAAGGCTCAGGTAAGTCTGGGAAGGGTGTGAGGGAGATGGGGGTGGAGAGAGAGAGAGGGCAGAGCAGACTCCAAGATCATTAAGCCCAATTTGTTGTGTGGGAGGACACAGGCCTGAGACAGATGCAGGTCCGTATCACCTTTCAATACAGCGGTCTGCCCACTTAGGAAAGGAAATCCGATTAACAATAAATAGTAACCAATCCGCTGCTGTTCCTCTTCCTTTGGAAAGAAGCAGCAGAAGGGGAGAAGGGTGCAACGTGAGAAGGAAAGACAAGCAGCAGGAGATGATGTGTTCTCTTGTGTGTGCTATAGCATTATTGACATCATTCCCCTACCTTATAGGGTTAAGTGGGGTTTTATGAAGCATTATAATATTTTTCTATGGGGGAAGGCGTTCTGAGTTTTAATAAATGACTCATAAATGCAGCCTTGCACTGTAACACATCAAACAGATTTAGTTGCTTTTTCAAATTAACTGTGCATTCGTCCCATGTACTGTGGTGACATATATATGGGACTATAGTGTGTCAGTAATGACTGAGTAGTCCTCCCAGAGTTCTTCAGAGTAAGAGAGTAGATACATTGTCCTCTTAGGCTATGCCAGGAAGTACACACATTTCAGCAAACAAAACAAACTGAGGTTAAACTAGGAAATGCTAGGAAATTATTCTAGAAATAATCACCTTTTTTTTTTCCTGGTTAAATTCTACCACAATTATTCACTGTATTAGAGAAATCATTGTACAGTTAGTTTTTAGTGCATTACATGCCCCATCCCCAAATTCAGGGGCCTAAAACAAAAACTACTTACATGACTTGAATTTCTGTAGATTGTTGGAGGCTGGGCTCCTCTGGGAAGCTCTGTTTTAAGTTATGTGTGGTCACACTGTTTGGGCTCAGGTCAGCTACCCACATGTCCGTTCTGGGGCAGCAGTCTGGGGGAGCTTTTTTCATGGTGATACCAGATGTGCAAGAAGACAAGGCAAATTGAAGGCATCTTAAGGCCTATGCTCATTGTGCTGCATTGTCATTTTCACTTCATTCTGTTGTCCATGGCAAGTCAGATGGATGAACCTAAAGTCAAGGTGTGAGTAAACTTATTCTGCTCTCTTAGTGTGGGGGAAGAACTGCAAGGTCTAGGGCAAACAGTACAGATATAGGAAGGGACTGACTCGATGGAAAAATTCCAAGATGCCCTGGAAATGGAGCTAATGATGCATCTAGCACAATGCTCATTGGCTCAGTGAGCTTAAATTAAATCTACTCCTTGAAGAAGTGTCTATGTGAGTGAGTGGGGGATTGGGGATCGCGGTTAGAGGAACAGGGCACGCTTTTCAGTGACATGCCCTGCAAAGGCACAGTGCCTAAACCTGCCATTTAAAAATTCAAGATCTTCCTGAATCTAAGATTTAAAAAGTTTGATCCACTGAGGTTGCTGGGGCCCTTAATGTCCATCGCAGAGCTATGACAAATGGAATCAACCAGGAACTTTTCCATCAAGTCACACTGACAAGAGGTAGTTGCCCCAAATAGTCATGAACACCTAGGGAGGTAACTATGGGAGAAAGATGTACCTACTGAGCAGCTGTGGGGAGTCCTAGTTAACTGAGAAAGTCCTAAGGAGGCCCATGAAGTGTTGGAGATGCGCCTCTGGATCACTACCTGATTGGGACTAGAGAAGAGATGCAGTATGGTGACTGCTCTCAACTTTTGTTGAGGGGGTATAAATATAAAAGTTTTATACTTTTTACAATAACATTCCTGACAATTGTGTTAAATCTGCTCATCAAACTTCTTTAGTATTGGCTTTCTTAGCAATGCCTTGGTGGGTTTTTCACAAATGTTCCGTCTATCTGGATTATTAGAACTGTCAAATTCTGGCATTTCAGCATCAGTACTGTTTTTTAAAATTCCTTCAAAGTTTGTCTTCTTCTTCTAGGTCAGGCAAGAGCCTCTTGAAGGGACTGTGGCTTTCTCTGACTCGATCTTCCCTTTTTGGGCAGACTCGCAGACTTCTCGGTTGACCATGACTTCCACCCAGTGTATAACCAGGCTGGTGAGAAAGCACCAACATTCTTTGCCAACAAAACGCTTTTTCAGGAGAGGCTGTTTGGGGCACTGACCATTCTTTGCCAGGTTTAGCCATCAGTGCTAGGTGACCTCTAGTCAGTGGCATATAGTCTGCCCTGTCTGTGCCTTTGTGCCAACATCCTCTTTCCAACACACACATCCACTGCAGACACTGCCTAACATTATAGTCCCAAGTCTTGTCCTTCCACACTGTTGAAGGCAGAGTGGTCCATGGGCCTCTCTATGCCCTCTCTCCCCACGTCTCTGCCCCTCTGCAGGTCTCATGGGGGTTAAGAAACGTGTTTAATTTTTATTTTTAAATTTGAGATAGGGTCTTCTTAAATTGCCCTACTGGGACTTGAACTTGCAGTCTTCGCACCCTAGGCTCCCTCAGTGCTAGGATTATAGGCATGTATCACCTCACCCAGCTATCTGTCCACTCTTGAAGCAAATCCCCATCATGAGGATAAAAACTTGAGTTTCATGTAGGCATCCAATCTTTATAAGAAATTCTAGTTGTTTCCTTTCTTTCTTTCCATTAGCTATGGGGAGGGAAAAGTTATGCTTCCATCCTTCTCCATCCTTTCAGTGGCAGAAGGAGGTGGGAGAAGGATAGGGTTAGTTATAGGAGATTTCTGAGACTTTAAACTCTGAAAGAATGTTGGGTATAAGTCCTGGCAGATCTCTTATTTTAAAATGTGAGGGTACTTGCTGGCTTTGGTTTTAGTTTGGGGTACTAACTACAATTCAAGGGCAACATGAAAAGTCTTATGATCTCTTTTATAGCTCTGGAGTCAGGGTTAACTTGTTCAAAACTGGGTTCTGCTGCTTGCTATTCAGTCCTACTTTCTTCATCTTTAAAATGGTGTCACTTTTGCCTGCTTCTCAGGGTTATTTCCAGGATAAGAGGAATAAATAAATGTCATTTGGCTTCCTCATTAGAGATGTTAAACACTACCAGTTATCTTCTCTCACCAGCCCATTATTCATGTCGTCTCTTGCACCTTATGTGTATCCATGTCTGTGCATATGTATACTTGTATGTAGCTACAAATAGGTGTATATGTCTGTAAAAAATTAGGCCTTTGATATTTTCCCCCTTGAATCCATAAGTTATATTATTCGTGCAAAGGACATATATTTGGGAAATGAATCTTCAACATTCAGTAACAAGAGCCCTAAATTCTTATATGACTCATTGAGTCATAAGTTACCAATGGCACCAGGTATGGACTCTATTTCCTGCAGCACATTGTGTAGGTGTATTATTACCAGAAATCTTCCAAAACGCTACCCAGTCATTTCTTTCTCTGTTTCTATAGAAATGACTAGGATGAAAGAAAATAAAGATTGAAACAAAGAAATGTGATTGTTTTTATGTTTTACCATCAAGAATACCCTTTTAGTTAAAATGAAATCATTCAAATGAGAATAAACAAATTTAAATAAAAAATGTTTGATGCTGACTGAACTGGGTTTTACCTGATAAAATCTACAAAGCATAATATTTACCCTCAAAAATCATCAGCCATACATAACCATTACTCATGCTTTCACACCTTGACATATGATAGATTTTCTAAAACCTTAAGAGATTGGGAGCTTTTTAGGCTATATGAGCCCAGCATTTAGTGAAAGAAGAAAGAGGTCAATAGCCAACAAGCATGTACGAAGTTGAATTACATAGCTAAAGAGCTTCTGACTTTCTTTTGCATTGTTTGAAAGTTAGAGGTCCAAGTGTACTAGAGGAAAAATGAAGTGTTGCATTTCACTTTTTTCCTTTTCTCCTCCCGTATAGCATTGGCCTCACAGGCTCCAACACCAGTTTTTGACACCCCCCCCCACCCAGTGTGAAGGAAGTTCAGGGTGCACTGGCTACTAGTTTATCTGAGCCAGTGAGCAGACCCCCCAGCCCCGCCACCATAAGGTGAGTTTGTTACTTACACCCAGAAAGCAAGGGACAGAAGCCTAAATTCACTGTGTGCTTATCCCCTGAAGGCCAGCAAGCTGCCTGGATGGATAGAGTCTTGATTGCTTGTGCCCCACTTGCACCATGGTTTAGGGGCCCCCAAAAGTAGCCTGCCTTGGAGTATACACCTCAGATCACATGATTCACTGAACTGCAGTGTGGAGGAAGTCCTATTCTGGGCAGGACTGGAACGCAGCTTGGGTCTTTATCTCAGGATGTTGCATTCCCAGCACATTCCAGTTATTCTTGAGAATGACAAGCAAAAAACCGAGGAGGTATGGGTCGCTGCAAGACCATCCAGAAAACTATCCTGCACCAACACTACTCTGACCACCTCCACTATCACAAAGTAACCTTAGAAAGATATGCTGTTAATTGGTCTGCAGGGAAAAGTCTGTAAGAACAAAGAAAATCTTGATTTATTGTTCCCTATATTTCACTATCTGCAAAATCTACACAATGTTTTCCTGGCCTATTATATTAACTAAGTGTCTTCTGTAGGTAGCATTTGGTAAACAAATATACATAGAATATTAGTACTCAAGTTCTGCTTCTGTTTAAATGTGCATGCACAGAATACACACACACATACACACTCATAGTAACCCTAAACTAACTAGTAGGAAGGAAGAATTTTGATTTTATTTCTAGATGAAGAGAACAGGAGGATGCACTCACATCTATGGCTTATTTAAATTAATACAAATGACTACAACAGCTCTGAATACCAGCCAAAAATTCCATGAGTGTCATCCACACACATAGATAGGGGCCAAGAAATCTAAAGAACAGAATATTGAAACTAAAGGAATCTCAGCAATTGCAAGTGCAAAGCTCTCATTTTACTAATAAGGAAATTTAGTTCT